ACCGCACCACCCAAGGACCTGAACCCACACTGGATTCGAGACTGAGGAGGTAGGGTACGCCTCCCACCTCCACACGTGCACCCGGCAGGCGCCGCACGTCGCCAAGGGCATGCCTCTCCTCCTTGAACACGGCGCCGACCCCGCCGCCCGCAACGACGCCGGCCAGACGGCGCGACTAGATTAGATGGACAGGCCAGGAACAGCCAGGTCTCGGACTGGACACCAACGCGGTATGGGTGGACGCGGGACAGACGATGACGGCACACAGGAGCGGCACACAGACACACAGACTCACAAGACACTCGCCTGCGCCGCCTGCCCGCCGCCCCGCGCCGAGTCCCCCGGGCCGCTCCTCGAGGCGCCGAATGGGCCACAACCTGTTCTTGGTTGTGTGGGCGCTGCTCCTGCTCTGCACACCTTCTGTTCACACCTTCCATTCACAGCAGGCCACACAACTCATGGCGCTGCACCCTCGTCCCCTACCCCACGGTACCCGAACCCACCCTCCCCTGCCCAGACGGTACCCGAACCCACCCTCCCCTACCCCACGGTACCCGAACCCACCCTCCCCTACCCACACGGTACCCGAACCCACCTAGGCGCTTCACCTGCTCGCCGAGCGGGCGGTGTACTCACGCCAGGAGGCTGCCGGTGTCGGCGCGTTGGGCGCGGCGGAGGGCGGCGGCGCCGAGTCGCCGCCGCCCTTTCCGACGGCGCGGCTGCTGGAGATGCTTGGTGAGGCTGGGGTGCCGCTTCCGCTGGACGCGCAGGAGGCGGAGAGCGGGAACACCGCCATGCACACCGCCGCGTTTGGCGGGTGCGTCGAGATGGCAATCTCGCTCGTCGGCCTGGGCGCGTCGGTCGGGCTGCCGAATCGGGACGGTACAGACGGCCGCGGCCGTTTGGCCTTGCACACTCGCAGCCCTTTCGTGCACGCGACGCGGCTGCGTGCCCCTTGACGGTTTTGCGTGCCATCCCCCCCCCCTGGTCCGTGCCCCTCAGGCTTCACCCCCCTCGACTCGATGCAGCCGAGCGGCGTGGAGGGGAGGTCTCTCGCG